ATCAATTTAATTCCATACATTCTTTCCTTCAGGTACAACCCCCGACGACCTGTTTCCTCTCTTCGACAAATACGGCAAAGTCGTCGACATCTTCGTCCCCAAAGATAGAAGGTTTTTTCAATTTCCCATTTTAATTTTCACTTATTTCGTTCATTTGTTGAAGTTTTCTTGTTTTTAAGGACTGGTGAATCAAGAGGTTTTGCTTTCGTGCGTTATAAGTATGCTGATGAAGCTTCCAAGGCTGTCGATAGGCTAGACGGTATGCTTATTTGCTTATTTGTTTTGTGATTGTTAATGCTTACTCTTGATTTCATTTTTATTGTTTATATAATTTGAGAAATTGTTTTGAGAAATTTATTTTTCAGGAAGAATGGTTGATGGTAGGGAAATAACTGTACAGTTTGCTAAATATGGCCCTAATGCTGAGAGGATGTAAGTTCTGCAGTTTTATTTTTTATTTTTTGTTCATTTTTGGTTTTTGTATAGCAAAATGTTTGTAATTAATTTGTAGTTGTTATTTCAGTATTTTGTCTTAATTAGGGTTTGAATCTGGGTCATTTAACTCCTTCAATCTTATGCTCCTCTGTAGCACTGACACCTCGGCAAAAAGACCGGTTCGAAACCGCACTGACACTTGCAATTACGTTTGATTTATTTTTCCAAATTATTATCGGTGTCGACGTGTCAATGTCAATGTCGTATTTTTGGTGTCCATGCTTCATAACTTAGCTCAATCCGGTTCGTTGTGTTATAATGATGTTGTGATGTCATAATTAAAACTTTACCTTGGTGTTCTCATATTGTTAGAAATGATAATATTCGAGAGAGTGATGGGTAGCACCTATAATAGAAAAATGCTGAAAAATAGAATTAGGTGATTTGGGCATATAGAGAGAAGACTTAGACTTGTAGATTTTGTGGTAAGGAGAGTAGATCAGATGGAGAGGAGTCAAACAATTAGAGGTAGAGGAAGACCTAGAAAAACTATAAGAGAAATTATTAAGAAAAATTTCGAGATTAACGATTTGGATTGAACCATGGTCTTGGATAGCATATTATGGCGGAAGTTGATCCATGTAACCGACCCCACTTTGTGAGATAAAACTTTGTTGTTGTTTCTTTATCCTGTTGTTTATATAATGAGGAAAAACTGAGTAACTTTGTTGAATATATTTTGTTTGAATATAATAGCTTTCTTATATTGTTATTAAGTGTCATAGTGATCCTGATAGTGGATGCTGGTTATTATTTTTTCTCACGGCTTGTTTGTCTTTATTCTTGTGCACTTGTACGTAGCTAAATTTATTTCCTTCAATTTACAGTCAGAAAGGAAGGATTATTGAAACATCCCCGAGATCAAAGAGCTCAAGGAGCCGCAGTCCCAGCAGGAGAAGGTGCATAAAGTTTTTACTACTTCCGGAGTGTTGTAGAATTAGGAGTTTTTGTGGCTACTTGTTTGGAGAGCTTTGGAATTACAGTTGTAGAATTGTTCTTTAATTATTTTTGACTACCCGTGATTCAGTGTTATCAAATTGCGGTGCTATGGTGGATATACATGGCGTTTTTTTGGCTTGCCGCTATGGTAAATATCTGCTGCTATTGTGGGTTTTTCCGCCATAATCCACAATAACGGCGCCCCAAAGTGTCCGCCATGGCGGGACTTTGGCTCCCCGCCATAGGCCGCCATTGACAACACTGCCGTGATTAGATGAATGTTGTATTTCAATTATGTGCAATTTCTTAGCCTTTGTTTTTATGTTCAGTGTGACCATTTCATTTTATAGCTGAGATCATTTCTGGAATTTTCAATTAATATGTATCAAGCAGTTTGATTTTAGTTGATGCATTTAATTATTCGAAGCTCATTCAAGATGTATCATGCAGTTTGCTTTTCTCCTGAATAATGTGAACTTGTGAAATCTGGAAAGTCCCGTACCACGGGGATTAATGGGACTGCTACCATTATTATAATAGAGACCCTGTACTGTACTCTGAATGTCTAAATTCTTAACTGCCATTGTAATGGACTGTAATATTAGCATTCGAACTATCTTCAGGTTGATATGCTCAAAAGGATGTTATGTGTTCATTTTAAAATTTTCTTGTGGTTATCTAATTGTATTTGTATTTCTCATAGCCAGTGGTGTTTCTACATTCATGATTGGCTTTGATAGAATTTTTTATCGAATAATGTCTAATTGTTGATAGGTACCGTGATGATTACAAAGGCAAGGATTACAGGAGGAGAAGTCGCAGCGGGAGTTATGACAGGTATGAGCGCGACAGATATCGCGGTGGGAGAGACAGAGACTACCGTCGTCGAAGCAGAAGCCGTAGTGCCAGTCCTGATTACAAGGGGCGAGGAAGGGGACGCTATGATGATGAGCGCCGTGGTGCCAGTCCTGATTACAAGGGTCGTGGAAGGGGTAGCTATGATGACGAGCGCCGTGGTAGAAACCGAAGCAGATCAGTAGAAAGGTCTTCATTATTGATACTTGGCCTTTTCATATTGATTTTGCACCATCATAATTATTGCTATTGAAGCCTTATTTTGGTTATTCTCCACAGCCGATCCCCTGCCCGACGAACTCCTAGTCCAAGAAGGAGCCCTTCTCCTAAGAAGAGTATTTCCCCTCAAAGGAGCACTTCTCCCCAGAAAAGTCCACGCCATGAAAGTCCTGATAATCGTAGCCGCGATGAAAGATCTCTTACTCCTCGTGGTGAGAGTGTCTCACCACGAGGTCGCCCTGATGTTTCTCCAAGCCCATCTCCTCGAAATTCAAACGGTGATGTAAGTAATATCATTCTTGAACTTAAATTTGAAACCAAAATTCAACTTCGTCATTGCGATGTATTTTTTAGCCATTCGTGACTATTCAATTGTATTTACATTTGCAGGAGTAGGCGGGTTTTTGTGATGTATTCCAGAGACAACTGTACCTGTTGCTGTCTTGATAATTTCGGACGATTTGGTCAGTGTGAATGGTCTTATCAGAGTCATTAAAGGATTTTATGGTCTAAGTGCAGTTTGGTAGGGTGACTTTCTTGGTGTTTGAATGTTCATATATTTTGACCTATATGTCATCTACTTTAGAATTTGGTAACTTTTGGACCTTATAGTTGCTACGCTAATATTTCACTTTGAGGGTTTTCGTCATTTTAGCTTTATTCTATTGTATTTGCATTTATCTCTGTCTGCATTTTCTTTTCCTTTATTATAAGCTGGATGGCTGTGATCTAGTTAAAGACCAGTTAATTTAAATTAACAACTTATTGGGTTTTATAGTTATGATGGTGGGAGAAGTGAAGAGGGCCTGATAGGTGCATGTTGACATTCTTGCTGTTGATGCTGTTTTTATGTCATTGATGATTGTTCGTGAGTTTGGTGCTGGTTGCAAGACTGTGCTGATTTTAGAACCCATTGTTTTATCAGTATGCTGGTTAGAATGACACTTAGTTGACTTGATTTTTGTTGTGAATGATCTGATCTTTGGTAAGCATTTTTGTTCACTTTCTATCTTCTTATATCTCACGTTCTCTGAGAATCCTGATTTTTGATCTGGTAGTCGTGATTGGTCTTTATCGATTAAAATTATCCCGAGAGGAATTCTTGATGCTGTGATGGACACAAGTTGAATGTATTTTGACGTGGCTGATGCCTGGTAGGAGTTGAACCTGTCATTTGTTGATTCAGACGCAGATAGTAATTATAAACAGTGGTACTAAATATTAACTCTAATTTGCTGGTGCTAAAATATTCAAGTTACTTTTTTAGGGTGTTTTATTGGATATTTATTTAACATTGCCTTTAAAGTTTATAATATCTGCTACTTAATGTAGTGAGATGCTTGTTGTAGCACACTGCCCCGTGATTGTAGCTGTGAGGTGGTTGCTGATCCATCTTTAATATGAATTTATGTTCACGAGTAATTTGAAGAATTAACACATTACTGTACCTGATTGTTGCTGTCCTTTTTGCCGCGGTCGTGTTTGCGATGTTATTAGCTGTTGGTAGTTGGTACTGATGATGGTTGTTTAGCTGTGCTGCTGGTTTTTGTTGATTCCAAAGTCGTCCGGCAGAATTCTATTCACTATTAAGCATGTGGTTGGTTTTGGTAGATTCGTCTTGATCAATTGTATGGCATAATATTTGTTTTTTTCAAAATTTTATTATTGTCACTTGTTGTCTATACATGGTGTTCCCTATTACTATATTGTGATGTAGTTATTGTTCTGCAGTTGAAATAGACAAGCAAAATTAGAGATCTTTAAGGTTTTGTTTGGCTTATGAGTCGGTTGTTTGAGAGCAGCTGTTGTCATCTATCTGGTTTTGGTAGGATTCAAACCAATGTGCCGGGTTATTAGTTGAATTGTATGATTCACTATATATATTTTTCTTTTATAAATTTGCTATTGTTTCAACTAAGTTCCTATCTGTGTGTTCTGTTCAATTCTTCTGTGTATGATTGCTTTAATGGGATGTTCTTTTTGCTCTGGATCATGAAAGATTACAAACCTACCAACAGCTTGTGGAAATGTTGGACTAAGAGAGTGTCTTCAAACTTGTTAAAAAAGCCATATGATGAGGAATTATAGCGGATTATTGATTTCAAAACTTGGATTGACTAATGTTGAGTATTAATCAGTTAGATTTAAATACCAAAAGAAAACAATGGATGTAGGTTATTGTAATTGATAGTATCTGAAAAATTTACATTCACCATGTTTTCTGGTTTTTTCAGTGTCTACTTATTATCAATTGTTAATCAGTCAGCATCTAATTGTTTCCTGGCACAAAGTTTGTAGGCCTATTCATCAAGGTGGCTTGGGAATCAAAACTTATCAACTACTATATATTCTCTTCCATTTGGTTTAACATCAAACATAAATTTCACACCATCCTTGTTAATTCTAATTTGTCTATTGAAGATAGGTCCTCAATCAATTTATAAACAGACCTTGCTGTGGTGTTTCTCTTTTTCATCAACAACAATTGGAATATATCTTCAGATATTTTCAATGTTTATCTTAACATGCAAAAGATCTCAGATTGTGATCCTATGCTTGGATTCATTTTACTACGAATTCTCTATCTTTTAAGGAAGTGTTTATGTTTCATAATATTCCTGCTCAAAGTTGCAGCTGTGGTAAAATGATTTTGCAAATTAGCTTTCAAATCATTTTCCATAGCAAATTAGGATTACACGGTTCAACTCTATTATTTAAGGCAATTTCTCTTTCCATCCTACTGTGAATGGTGCGTACTATTTTTTGTTAAATAAAAATCGGAGATATATTATCGAAGTGAATTGGAAATGCATATTTGATTTCTGTGCAGACAACACTAGAAAGACTTATATTGACAATTGATCTTTTTATGTATTATTTTATATTAAATACAAAAACATATACAATAAAACATATTATAAAGACATATAGAACAAAAATATATATAAATAAATATCAATAAACACTACAAAATGTGCATGTAGTCAATATATGATGTAATCTAAAATATTATCTAAATACAATTAAAAAAATAATAACTAATATATATTGATCTGACCTGATTAGACTTGGACCGTCATGACTGGCTCCGAGCAGAAGTTGAGCGAGAGGGGGTACCTGCAAGGCACTCTGATGCTAAAGTGAGTGATGGTACGAGCAGGCAAAAAGTGTATGTATGGGTAAGAGAATGAATATCTGACCCTTTAGGAACAAAGGATATTTATAGCCCCCAGCGCGGGACCAAGGTCCTTTCATTAGGCCGACCAGGACTGGTCCACTAAAGGAACTGCCAGGTTCTACGTGTGTAGTGGGGATCCGCACGTGGTCTCCTTCCTGGTGATGCTTTGCGAGAAATGAGGAGGGACAAGGACGCGGTCTTTTCGGAGTTCAGGTGATTTGGTAACGGTCAGAGTCTGCCCTACGAGGAGGGTGCTCGAGTTGGGCTCGAGCTGGAGTTCACGTGGTCGAGGACACCATGTTCGCGGGCAACGGCGGGCACGACTGCAATTTTTGGTCGGCGCACTGGCGGGAATCCTTGGGTGCGCCCTCCTTGAAGAGTTGCTTGGATTGGGCCTTCGTTCTTGCTCTTGGGCTAGGGCGGGCCCAGTCCAGAACATGAGCCCCCCAAGTCGTGGCTCCTGGAGCAGGAGTTATGACTTGACCTCAGCCCGCCTTTGTCACGGGATTTGATGCCCGACCCAGGATATTTGCTTCCCCGTGATTGCTCGAGGAGTTTCTCATGAGTTGCGTTCGTGGGGGTAATCCTTTTCGAGGCGTGCTCGGGGGATTCTTTGCGGGCTGTGTTCGTTGGATACACGAGGCAACCCTTGGGAACCGTGACGCCACCCTAGTGAAAGTAGAACCATCATTGCCTAGGGGAGTAGACGTCGAGGAGGGGAAGCTCGTGGTTCCCCGGGGCGACGTTTCGTATTCTACGTCATCCCTATAAATAGGATCCTTGGGTCTCATAATCTGTTTTTCCTCTTCGCGCTTCTCCTTCTTCCTCTGCTTTTGCCGCCGCTGTTTTTTCAGAACTTCGCAGGATTACCGTACCTTCCTCCGTGGGTTCTCTTCACCGCCGTCGTACATCCTTCTTAACCTCCAAGTAAGCGTTTATCCCTCATATTTTTCTCTGTTGTAGGTAATTTTTCCGTTATTTGGATGTTAGAAATCCACATCTGGGATTAGCGCCCGATACATTCATGCTTGTGCCCGGCACATTCATGTTTGTGCCCGGTATATTCATGTTTGTGCCCGGTAAATTCATAGCTTTAGATATGTGACTCGCGATGCTGCCCGAGGCCTTCATGGTTTTGGGCGCATAATTCTATGATACTGCCCGGTAAACCCATAGTTCTAGGTTTAGGATTCTTGATATTGCCCATCACATTCGTAGTTTAGGTCGGCGTACTCATGACTGGCCGGGATGTTGGCCCATTTAGGAAGTATGTAGGACAACTCGTCGTGGCACCTTAGCGTCGGGGAGGTGAAACCAGGATCTTGTTCGAGTCCTCAACATTTTTACGCGCGCGGAGTGTGTCATGGCTTGTCGTGCCCTTCTTCCCGTCAGTTATGGTGAGCGTATGGATTTTCTCTCGAATTTCACCGGTTTCCTGTGCTTTGCAGGTAAAATGGCTGACGAGTCGGAGTCTTCGGGGCGCAACGAGGTCGAGGACCAGAGTGTCGAGGAGAATGTAACTCGTTGATACCGTTGATGATCTTTCGCTGGATTAGGTGGGCGCCGAGCCCAGAGGGATTGCCTCGGCATATAATCGACGTAGTTGGAGCGCATACACTATCGTCGAACACGGCGGTAGTCAGCCGGGCTTCCAAAAAAACTTCGTTGTCACAAGACCGTCTCTTGACGCGCAGATCTGCTCGGAGTTCTCTGAGTATGGTTTTCCCATGTATGAAATCGCGTTCAAGGACCTCGGCCTCAAGCTCCCTTTTAGTGATTTCTAGGTCGGGGTATTCTGTTATCTGGACTTGGCCCCCTCGCAGCTTCACCCCAACTCGATCGCCTTTCTTCGGGCGTTCGAGCTGACATGTCGCTTTTTAAGGATCGGGGCGACCATCCCTCTCTTCTTCAGAGTTTTTCATTTGCAACGCCAGTCTCGAGGAGGCAGGCATATCTGGGTTTCCCTGAAACAGTCGAAGAGGCTGTTCAGGATGTACATGGATTCGGTCCGGGGTTTCAAGGACAAATGGTATGTCGTGCGGCCGGTCACCCAGACTGCTTTGGATTCTATATATGAAGAGGAGACCGCAGTGGCCGACGAGAATGGGGAGCCTCTTATGGACGACGAGGGTTGCCCGGTGTTGAGGCATGTATCCAAGTTCCTGTTGCATTGGTGCTCGCACCACTATGAGCATGGTACCGGGCACCACCATACGCCCGCGGGAGGAATGAGTACCGAGGACGAGGAAGCCTATGGTACCCTTTGCAAGTATGTCGACAACTTCTTCCCTGCCCGGTGGGCCACGAGGGAGGGAAAAGACATTCTTGACGAGGAAGGTTACCCGACCTTCGAGGCCCGTCCTATAGATACCAAGGCGTTTGTCGAGTGCCAGTCCTACGGGCAGGCCGCAGACCTACTAGGTTGCTTTTTGTCTTATAGTTTTGTTCTCGCTTCTTTGTTTGTTACTTGCTCGTGACTAACCCGGATTTTCTTTTTTCAGGCAATATGGCCATACGAAAGGAGAGGCTTTTAAAACTGACACAAGATAAGAAAGTCAACAAAAGGTTGGTGCGAGCTCCACAGGCAACGAGGATGGGCCCGCCGACCAGCTCGGGTGATGCTTCTAGCGGGTCCCCGGACTCCTCAGACGTCGAGCAGCCCACTGATCTGATATCGAGGAAGAGAAACCGGGTAGAGAGCCAGTCAGAAGTTGGCGACGAGTCTGTCGCGGTGAGGGCCTTTGGCTTGTCCCCCTGCTTTAAAGAGGAAGGCTTCTTCGAGGGGTTTCCCTTGACAATAAGTGTCGATGAGGCTGAGACCATCAGGCGGCTAAACAAAGAAAGTCAGAGAAAACATTTGGCCGCCAGTATGGTCAGGATGATTAAGATGGCCGAGATGGCCGTTGTCCTCGCTGAGGAGGGGTCGGACTCCTCTGACCGCGTCAGGGAACTAGAGCTAGAGAAAGCTGCCCTTGCTGCCGGATCTCGAAAGTTGAAGGCTGCTCTGGAGCGATCTGAGGAGATGTTCCGCGAGCAAGCCGAGTTGCTGGCCGTGGAAAAGGAGAACTCGGGGAAGGTTGCCGAGGAGAGGGACTGTTTTCGACTAGACCGGGAACGCTTGGAGACCGACAACGAGCGTCTTTCTAAAGAAGTCGAGGACCTGAAGGCCGCCATGCTCCCCGCTGAAGATGAGTTGGAGGAGACAGTCCCCTTGCGGAGTCGCTCGGATCTGGTCGCGCGCATCCATCTCCTCGAAACGGACTGTGTTGGCGCCTTGGCGGATGGTTTTGAGGTCGCGGTTAGCCAGCTCACTTTATTAAATCCGGGTCTGAATACCGAGGGGGTGGGTTTCATGTCCCAGATCATTGACGGCCAGGTCGTGCCTCCTTCCGAGTCTCCTGTCGTGGATGCTGGTAGCCCCGAGGAAGTCTAGCCGTGGAATTCTGGTCGGGCATGCGCGCCTGTTTATTGGTAGTTATTTTTGGGGCCTGCGTGCCCGTGCATATTTTTTGGGGCCTGCATGCCCGTGCCTGTAATTTTTGAACATCGTCGGCCTTCTTGGTCGGTTTATTTTTATTTGTTTTTGCTCACGATCCTTTGAGTGAATGTTTATTTCGACCTTTAATATTTGCTTGTGTCTAAGTTTTTATATTTGTGATAAAATTTGCCTAAGTTATGTCCCCGAGTCTCGCCTGTGCTCGACTGTTACTTTGTGGCGAAATTTGCCTAAGTTATTTCCTCGGGGCATGCTTGTGCTCGGCTTGTTATTTTATGGAGAAATTTGCATGTTATGTCCCTGAGTCACGTTTGTGCTCGGCTGTTACTTTGTGGCAAAATTTGCCTAAGTTACATCCTCGAGTCACGTTTGTGCTTGGCTGTTACTTTGTGGCGAAATTTTCCTAAGTTACGT